ATAATACATAGATGACACATTTCATGTGTGTATGTAAAGATGAAAACTTTATGGACACAAATTTGAATTTCATATAATTTTCATGTGTCATGAAAAAATATTCTTGGGAATTCCCTGTGTTCCAGTGGTTAGAACTCCGAGATCTCACTGCCAATGGCAAGAGTTCAATCCCTGGTTGGGGAGCTAAGATCGCAAGGTGTGCAGCATGACCAAAAAATAAGAAGATAAATAAAAAAGAAATCTATTCTTCTTTTGAGTTTTTTCCAACCATTCTCAACTCTCAGGGTATGCACATACAGACAGTAGGCTGATTTGGCTTTCATGCTGAAATTTGCCAACCCTGCCGGCGTGCTACATCACTTCAATTATGTCTCACTCTTTGCGACCCCATAGACTGTAGCCTTCCAGGCTCCTCCGTCCATGGGATTTTCCAGGCAAGAATACTGGAGTGGGTTGCCATTTTCTTCTCCAGGGGATCTTCCCAACCCAGGGATCAAACCCATGTCTCTTATATATCCTGCATTGGCAGGCAGGTTCTTTACCAGTAGTGCCACCTGGGAAGTCCCTAGAACAACATGAGAACTGAGTTTTACTTTTTGTTTATCTTTTGGCCACGCTGCATGGCATGTAGGATCCCCAACCAGGGATTGAACCTGTACTCCTGCATTGGCAACACCTGGTCTTAACCACTGAATCGCCAGGGAAGTCCCAGGAACTGGGTTTTATTTTTATTTTAAAAAATATTTATTTGTTATATTTTGCTGCACTGGGTCTCAGTTACAGCACACGGGATCTTTGATCTTCATTGCAGCATGCAGACTCTTATTTGCAGTACATGAGATCTAGTTCCCTGACCTGGGATTGAACCTGGGCCCCCTGCCCTGGGAGCTTGAAGTCTTAGCCACTGGACCACCAGGGAAGTCCCAGAACTGGATTTTAGAATAATGAGGCAGAGTGGGAGTGAGTAAGCTAAAGAGACTTATCAGAAAGTGATCTCTGAGAGAGGATAAATAATCAGGTAAGGTGAGGGACCGCTCAAATTCCGTTTGGAGGCTTCTTTGAGCTCGCAGAGTAGACATCATGAGCAAAGCACACCCTCCCGAGTTGAAAAAATTTATGGACAAGAAGTTATCATTAAAATTAAATGGTGGCAGACATGTCCAAGGAATATTGTGGGGATTTGATCCCTTTATGAATCTTGTGATAGATGAATGTGTGGAGATGGCAACTAGTGGGCAACAGAACAATATTGGAATGGTGGTAATACGAGGAAATAGTATCATCATGTTAGAAGCCTTGGAACGAGTATGAACAACATCTGTGTTCACAAGAGAAATCAACTGCTTCCGTGTGTCCCCTTCCCCACATTTTACTACCAGAAAAATTGGGTTGTGTACATTTTCTTACTGAACTTTTTTGTTAAATAAACTTTTGTAATAGCCAAAAAAAAAAACCAGGTAAGTGGCAATGAGGATGGAGCTAAGTGAGTGGGCCGGGGAGCCTCTGGGCACAGACAGGACTTAGAAAGTTTAACCAGCCACAGCCACTCCAGGAGAGATTCAATAGACTAGGTGCCTTTCCTCCTCCCCTCGCCACCCCAGAACAAAGCACAATCGCTGAAAGCTAGGGTAATGGGAGTAGGTATCACCACTGATCCACACAGGGGAATAATCCCAAGCTAGTTCTGGATAGATCCTTTGCAAAACATGTGCCAGGGGCTTTCCACTACCACAATCCCCCAAAGTGTGCTTCCCACTATCACGAGCCCCCAGAGAGTACTGACCTGTGTCGTGACTGTTGACAAGGTCTTCCTCATTCCCATGGATGCTTTGGATGGACTGAGCGAGGCTTCAAGGCAGAAGGACTTCGCCAGTGGGTCAGTGCAGGCAGCTGGTCATGGGAGGCTCTACTCGGAGGGCAAGACACACAGGTCTGCCATCCTGGATGTAGGTGATAGGTGGGCTGCTGGACCAGCTCAAGCAGTGGGTGTTTCCAACAGTCCCAGGAGTTGTTGGACTCTACAGGAGTAAACTCCTGCTCTTCCTCTGAATCAGCAAGTTCCCACCAAACTCTTCCCGACTCTCTTTTTCCACCCCTAACCCCAGATATAATCTCCTCCTCCCACCTCAGGTGAAGCCTAACATTTTATCTCTTCTCTTGCCAAACTACTGTTGTTGGATAAATACCATGTCCTTCCCCATCAAAGGGGCTGCCCCTCTAGTCTCAAAACCACTATACCAACATCCCTGATGGTATAGTGGAAACGAATCCGCCTGCCAGTGCAGAGGACATGGGCTCCATCCCTGGTCCAGGAAGATTCCACTTGCAGCAGGGCAACTAAGCCCATAAGCCACAACCACTAAGTCCAAGTGCTGCAACCACTGAAGCCTGTGTGCCTGGAGCTCGTGCTCCACAAAACGGGAAGCCAGCACAGCAAGAAGCCTGCACACCACAACTAGAGACAACCTGTGGGCAGCAAGGAAGACCTATGATCCAGCACAGCAAAAAAGAAAAAAGAAAAAACCCAACTGGTGCAAATCAAAGCTCTGGCTCTCAGCCTCAACACTCAGCATGCCCTCAGACGATGGGTGGGCAGACCTCAGATCTCCTTGCCCTCGACATTCTACCCCATCATCCAGACAAAATGCCTACAGAACCAGTGCTGAGAAGGAGACTCTACTTAGTACTGATAACTTTATCTCTGAGAGAGATGGGAGGAAAAATAAAAGGACCAGCATTTTGGGTGAGGATGGTCGGGGAGCAGCATGGAGGCCCTTTGTTGTTGTTTAGTTGCTCAGTCATGTCCGACTCTTTGCAACCCCGTGGACTGCAGCACACCAGGCTTCCCTGTCCTTCACCATCTCCCGGAGCTTGCTCAAACTCATGTCCGTTGAGTCTGTGAAGCCATCCAACCATCTTATCCTCCATCATCCCCTTCTCCTCCTGTCTTCACTCTTTCCCAGAAGTTGTTCTTTATATCCCAGCAAATGTCCACTGAGTCAGTGATGCCATCCAACCATCTTATCCTTCATCATCCCCTTCTCCTCCTGCCTTCAATCTTTCCCAGCAAATGTTGTTACTTTGACTTTCATGTAATAAAGTCAAAGTAATAACATTCAGCACGTGTGCCACAACTACTGAAGCCTTCACACCTAGAGCCCGTGCTCCACCTCAGATGGGTGTTATCCCCCCAAGGACACTCAGCAGTTCAGCAAAGAATGGATTAAAACAATGATGGAGCCAATCTAGGTGACAACAGATATGAGGATGGGAAAGGCAAGGATAAAGATGGAGAGCCAGTAGCTTAGGGGTCCCAAACATGTGTGTGGGCTAATGGCTTAGTCGTGTCTGACTTCTTGTGACCCCATGACTGTAGCCTGCCAGACTCCTCTGTCCATGGGATTCTCCAGACAAGAATACTGGAGCAGGTTGCCATTTCCCTTTCCGGGGGGTCTTCCAGACCCAGGGATTGAACCTGGGTCTCCTGTATTGCAGGCAGATTCTTTACCATCTGAGCTATAAGGAAGTCCCAGGAGACTAAAAGGGAGAAAATATAGTTGGAGGTAGAAGTACCGGACTAAGGCATTTGGAAGGTCTGGTTGCTCTGCTGTTTACTCACTAAGTCGTGTCTGACTCTTTGTGACTCCACAGACTGTAGCCCGCCGGGCTCGTCTGTCCATGGGTTTCTCCAGGAAAGAATACTGGGGTGGGTTGCCATTTTTCCTCCTCCAGGGGATCTTTCCAACCCAGGGACTGAACCCGCATCTCCTTAATCGGCAGGGAGATTCTTTACCACTGAGCCACCTGGGAAGCCCTAGAAGGTCTGGAAATGGAGCTGTTCTTGCAAGTGACAAGGTTTGGGGCATGACAAGGTCAGTGGTGGCCAAGAACAGATTCTTGGCAGCACAAAAGTCAAGAACCTCAGGAGTAGATGGGTGGTCTACATGGATGCAGGATTCCCGAAGAAGGCAGGAAGGAGTAGAGGTGGAGACAGAGGCAGTGAGCCCTGGGGAGGATGCGGAGCACGCAGGAGGAAGGCAGGGGAGTGACCTGTGCACCAGAGAGGTGTCTGAGGAAAGGAGAGTGATGGGACAGTGGCTCGGGAGAGGACACAGGAGCGTGGAGGAGCCCCACCCCACCTCCGGCCCTCCGGTCCAGGCAGTTCCGAAGAGAAAACAGTCCCCGTTTAAAGACCGAGAGGAAGCAGTGTCCTGGGGAGAGTCAGGCTAGCAGAGAAGACGCGGAGACCTACAGGGTTTTGCTGATGGCAGGCTGTGAGTTTCAGAGCAGGGTGGGAGTGTTTGGTTGATCAGGAAGTGCGGGTGACTGGGCCAGATTAGGGGCTGCTCGGAGTCATATGAGGTGGAGGGTCTGGGTGGTGAGGGGTGAGCTGGCTTTGGACAGTGTGAAACGTGATGGGCCCATGTGCTCTGCCTGTTCCTTGGTCCTCTTCTCTCCTGAACTCACTCCACAGGTGCCCTAACCCAGTCCTACACTTGGAACGCTGTCTGCCAGTGAAGCCCCAATTATATCTTCACCCCCAGCCTCTCCATAGAGTTCCTGGTGTGACGCAGACATCTCCACTCATTTAAAAGACTCTCCCAGATGGAAGCTGTGGCACTTCCCTGGAGGTCTTCCCAGTGGTTAAGAATCTGCCTTGCAATGCAGGGGGCCTGGGTTCAATCCCTGGTCAGGGAGCTAAGATCCCACATGCCTTGGGGCACCTAAGCCCAAGCACCACCTGGAGAGCCTGCATGACTCAATGAAGATCCCACATGCTACAACTAAGACCCGATGCAGCCAAATATATATATATATATAAATGGAAGAGGTGAAACGACAAGTCCTCTCTTCCCCTAGTAAATGGCACTAGCATTCACATTGTCACTTAGAACAGAAGGCTAGAAGTCACCCTGGAAACCTCTATTTGCGTTGTCCTGCTCGGCCCAACGCATCACCAAGTGCTAAAATCACCTGCTTCAAAATCCACCTTGTGAGTCATGGCAGGCTTGCTGAAGAAGACCACTGGCCTGGTGGGATTGGCTGTTTGTGAAACTCCACGTGAGAGGCTAAAAATATTGTATACAAAAATTCTTAATGTTCTTGGACACATCCCTAAAAATGCAGCATATAGAAAGTATACAGAAAAAAAAGAGAGAAAGAAAGTATACAGAACAGATTACAAATGAGAAGCTGAGTATGGTTAAAGCGGAACCAGGTGTTAAAAACCTAGAAGAGCGACTGCAGGGTGGCCAAATAGAAGAGGTGATTCTTCATCTTCAGGCTGAAAACGACCTAAGTCTGGCAAGAAAAATGATCCAGTGGAAACCATGGGAGCCTTTAGTGGAAGAGCCTCCAGCCAGCCAATGGAAATGGCCAATATAAACAGCATTAACTAACTAATCTGTTGATAGGAAACTGATGTAATTAAATATTCTTTTATATGTTAAAAACAAACAAACAGGAGAAGGAAATGGCAACCCACTCCAGTATTCTTGCCTGGAAAAGTCCATGGACAGAGGAGCCTGGTGGGCTGCAGTCCATGGGATTACATGACTGAGCGTGTGTGCATGAGGGTGGAGGGAGATGGGTTGGTAGCAATAAAGTGGTAGAACTAATAAACAAACAAACAAACAAACAAAATCCACCTTGTCCCCAGCATTGCCTGTGGCCTTCACGCTCAGTCCTGGTCCCACACAGCATCCTCATCACCATATCTGCCCCACTACAGTCTATTCTCATGGAGCACTGACAGCACATGTTCTGAAACGTACGTCAGAGCAAGTGACTCCCTTCCTCTGGCTTCCCAAGGCCCTGGGATAGAATTCCAAATCCATGACTTCAGAATCTGGCTGCTTTCCGCCTTCACTCCACTACCCCACCCCCCCACACTCCCTCAACTCCCACACCCCAACACACCCCCATCCCACCCTGGGCTCACCCTCGTTGGCATCGCCCTAGCTGCGCCGGCCTCCATGTTTCACTCAGACACTGTCTGTCCCCAGCCTGGACCTTTGCCTGGAAGACTTGTCCTCACCTTCAGGGCTCTGCTCCAAGGACACCTTCTCCTAGAGGCCCTCCTGATCGTCCTGCCCCCAAATTGCCTCTCCCTGCACCCTCCCCCTTATTCTGCTTTGTTTTTCTTCATATGCATCAGAACATTTCATGTAAATCAATACTACGCTTATTTGTTCATTTGATGACATTCTTTCCGCTGAAATGGTTCAACTACACCTTTTTCCACCGCTGTATCGCCCGCTTCGAACTGCTCCCAGCTCGTAGTAGAGGCTCAGTAAGTATTTGTTGAATAAATATCTACTAACGAAGGTTATTTTATCTGATATGGGATTCAAAAGCTCATTTTGAAAACCACAGACTGGATATTGCAGTTGCATTGCATGCATTCCTGCCATAGTAATTCACATTTTCCCCCAAGGAGAATTAGGCAGAGGAGAAAGCCTATGTTTCTCAGCACAATAAAGAACCTATCCTTTTCTTATTAAGGCAGGGGCTATGCTCTGCCTTCCATGTTGTTAGCCTCCGTTGTCTCTGACAAGAAGACACTGACCTCCACTCCTGCCAGTGGATTGCATTTCAGAGTCCAGGGGGGCTGCACATCAACGTTCAGCTGGCTGAACCCTGGTGAGGGTGAGGGAGACTCTACCTGAACTTGAAGGAGGAAGAAAGGTCATTCCTATTTGAGAAAATTAATACGGAGTGGGGATGGTAGCTTCAAGAGAGAAAGAATGTGAATGTGAAAAGGCCTCCAGGAAATAAGGAGCAAGGAAGACTTGCTCTGAAGGTTGATGTCACTGGGGAGCTGGGGCAAGTCTCTCGAGGGAGAAAGTGGCTCCAGCCAGTGATAAGATCAGTCTGGGTCAAGAGAGATCCTGAGAGAATGGATTGGAGGAGGCAGAGCAGATGCAGAGGAACCAGAGAAGCTGTTGGTGAGGGTCTAAGTGAGAGGTGATGGTGCCTTAGACCAGGTGCAGGGGTGGGTGGGGGAGATGGAGAGAGACGCATGGGTTTGACAGGACTGCGAGGAGATGCAACCAGTCCATCCTAAAGGAAATCAGTCCTGAATATTCATTGGAAGGACTGATGTTGAAGCTGAAACTCCAATACTTTGGCCACCTGATGTGAAGAACTAACTCACTGGAAAAGACCCTGATGCTGGGAAAGATTGAAGGCAGGAGGAGAAGGGAATGACAGAAGATGAGATAGCTGGATGGCATCACCGACTCAATGGACATGAGTTGGAGTAAACTCCGGGAGTTGGTGATGGACAGGGAGGCCTGGAGTGCTGCAGTCCACGGGGTTGCAAAGAGTTGGACACGACTGAGTGAACTGAACTGAACTAAGAGGTTAAGTTGATGGAGCTTGGCGATAAGTCAAATATAGATGAAGGAGAAGGGAGATGGAAGGAGATGCCCACAGGGAGTTCCCCTGTGGTCTAGTTCTTAGGATTCCGGGCTTTCACTGCCATGACCCAAGTTCAGTCTCTGTTCAGGGAACTGAGATCCTGCAAGGCAAGCTGGCCAAAAAAACAAAAAAAATTAGGGAGAGAGACATCCATGTTTCTTGGTGGTGGTTTAGTCTCTAAGTTGTATCTAACTCTTTTCGCGACCCCACAGGCTGTAGCCCATCAGGCTCCTCTGTCCATGAACTTCTCCAGGCAAGAATACTGGAGTGGGTTGCCATTCCCTTCTCCAGGGGATCTTCCCGACCCAGGGACTGAAACCATGTCTGCTGTGTCTCCTGCATTGGCAGGCGGAATCTTGACAAACTGAGCCCCCTGGGAAGCCCTCTCTTTGTTACCAGAGCCTAGACGGTCATGGTGCCATTTGTGTGATAAGGAAGACTTCACAGGAAGAGGCAGAGGGAGAAGGACAGACGCTGAACCAGAGAGCAGGAGGGAAATCTGGGGAGTCTGGCATTACAGGAGTCAATACAGATACCAAAACTGAAGTTACCGTGTGTGTGATGGCCTGAGAGCAAACTTTGTCATACATATGTATTCGTCATTGAAAATATAGAAGATCTTGAAAGAAACAGGAATGACCAACAACTCAATAACCAGGCAACTGGGACTTCCCTGCTGGTCCAGTGTTTAAGAATCTACCTTGCAATGCAGGGAACTCAGGTTCGATCCTGGTCAAGGACCTGAGATCCCATATGCTGGGGAGCAACTCAGTCCACATGCTGCAACTATTGAAGCCCATGTGCCCCAAGGAAAGGTCCCTCTTGCTGCAATTAAGACCTGATGCAGCCGTAAGCAAATACATTTTTTAAAAAGAGATAAAATGATTGAGACTTCGTGCAAGTGCATGCTTGCCTTTGACTAACTGTGTGCCCTCAGGCAAGACTCTTAAACACTCCGAGCCCCAATATCCTCATTTACAAAGGAAATCCTGATGAACAGTCATGATTGCTCAGCATCAGAGGGGGATACGGATGAACAATCTGGGCGACCTGGGACTGAAGAAGGAGTCAGAAGTGGTTCTTGTGAACAAGTTGTTATGTTTTATTCTTTGGACCTCAGAAATAGGGGCTGGGAGAAGGTCAGGGCCTGTGGCCAGGGCAGCCAGCTTTGGAGGCCGGGGTCTGATGAGCAGGGTGGGTGTAGAGAGCCCTGCCCGGTCAAGGCAGTGACCCCGGAGGCCATCCAAGCTTCTCTGGAGGACTGGTTAAGTGCGAGACTTCCACAGAGGCTTGGGCAGCAGAATGACACGGAAACCCGGAGATGCACAGAGATTAAAGGCAAGGGTAGAAGTCTGCTGCGGAGGGAGCTCTGAGCAGGCAAGAATCACGAAGCAGTGAGGGCCGAGAGGCAGCTGGCTGATGATGATGGTTGAAAAGGCTGTTGGGCCCCTGCCCCATCACTCCTTGGTCCTTTTTAGTTTACCTGCAGGTACAGGAGATGTTACTCTGCATGCAGTTTTGTTTTGTTTTATTTATTTATTTTTTTGGCCATGCTGTGTGACATGTGGGATCTTTGTTCCCTGAGCAAGGAACAAACCCATACCCCCTGCAGTGAAAGCGCAGTCTTAACCACTGGATGGCCAGGGATGTCCCTGCGTGCAGTCTTTACCTCCAGCACTCAGGGCTCAGCCCTTTGTTCCAGGCAGCCCAGGAGGGCCGGAGATTTGAAAAGTCTGGGGCGTTGGGAATGAGCGGACACACCCCCAGGAGCGCAGCGCTGAGAGCTCGGGAGGCTCCTCCTAGTGAGGCGGAGCCCCGCCGCCCACAGGGGCGTCCTCATTTTCTTCTCCTTGCACTTTCTGTTTCACTTTCCCTTTCCCTTGCTGCACTTCCCGGAATCTCCTCCGAAATAAGCTCTGGCGTTCTTGTCTCAGGGTCTTCTTTGGGGGGATGTGAATTCAGACAGTAGCACTGCAGAAACAGAAGATCTGGTTTCCCAGATGGCTCAGTGGTAAAGAATCTGCCTGCCAATGCAGGTGACACAGGTTCGATCCCTGGATCCCTGTGGAGCAACTAGGCCCAGTGCACCACAACTACTGAAGCCCACGTGCCCTAGAGCCTGTGCTCTGTAACAAGAGAAGCGGCACTGCACCTGGATGGTGGTTCCCCCCCACCCCACCCCCGCACCACGGCAGTGACTAAAGAAAAACCTGAACAGCAAGGAAGACACAGCACAGCCAAAAAGAAATAAATAAAACTTTTAAATGGGTAAAGGATTTGAATAGACATTTGCCAAAGAGGGCATACACATAGCCAATAAGTACACGAGAATGTGCTAAACATCATCCGTCATTAGGAAAATGTAAATCAAAATGCCAATACTTTGGCCACCTGATGCAAATAACTGACTCATTGGAAAAGACCCTGATGTTAGGAAAGATTGAAGGCAGAAGGAGAATGGGACAACAGAGGACGAGATGGTTGGATGGCATCTCTGACTCGATGTACATGAATTTGAGCAAGCTCTGGGAGTTGGTGATGGATAGGGAGACCTGGCATGCTGCAGTCCATGGGGTCGCAGGGAGCTGGACATGACTGAGCCACTGAACTGAACAGAAATCAAAACTACAATGAGATATATATATATATTTTTTTTTTTAAAACAGACTTAGATCAAGTGACCTGCCCAAGGTCTCATGGCTCCTCGGTTGTGGGCCAGGAGGGGACCCAGGTTTATCCCTTTCCAAGATAGCCTCCTTTCTACTCGCCCAAGTAGCCTCTTCCACGGAAAGGCTAGTGTAAGGGAAACATGAGATAACGGAGTGAAAGCCCTTTGTAAATTCTTAAGGGCTGCACAAACATCAGCCCTTCTTATCAATCAGGGAACACAGGGAACTCCTTAGTCAGGGAACAAGATACCACAGGCTGGCAACTAAGACCTGGAGCAGCCAAATAAATAAATA